CAGTTGTAGATTTACAATTTTTTGTGCTTTGGTTTCAATTATACAATGATCAGATACCCATCCCTCCACCAGTGCCCATTTTCCACCACCATGGATAATATCCCTCCCACCCCCATCCCCCCATCCCCCCTGTCTCTGTGGCAGGGCAATCCCCTGTGTTCTCTCTCTCCTTTTGGGTGTTGTGGTCTGCAAAAGAGGCATTGAGTGGCAAACATGTTCAGTCCATAGTCTACTTTCGACATGCATCTCCCCTCCTGGGAGGATCCTCCAAACATCCTTTATTTGGTGCTCCCTTCTCTATCTGAACAGCCCTTTCCTCTAGGATACCCGGCTGGCCTCTAAGTTATGGAGTAATCCTCCTGGTGCTGATCTCAGCTATTCTTGGGTATTAATCTCATACTTTGTTACTTTATATCCCCCAGATGAATGCAATCTTTCTATGTCTATCCCTCTCTTTCTGACTCATTTCGCTTAGCATGATACTTTCCATATTGTACCACTTGTATGTAAATTTCATGACTTCATCTTTTCTAAGAGCTACATAGTACTCCATTGTGTAGATGTACCAAAGTTTCTTTAACCAGTCATCTGTTCTTGGGCATTCAGGTTTCTTCCAGAACCTGTAACAACTTTTTAGTAATCTCTTATACAAGAGCTTATTGCTTCATTGTGAGATACAACATCTTCAAACTCTTCTAAGGAAATATTTTTGTTCAGTTTTAGTGAAGTATTCATAACAAGCAATATAAAATAAATTGTTTATGGCCTGCTATTGGGGCAGACTTGGGTGATAATTGGGAAAAATGGAAATAATAGTGGTGGAAATGTTTATGGTGGTGGGATTGGTGACCAATTAATCATTATGAACAACTCTATAATATATAATTAACTTAAAAAAATAAAAAAGAAGACATACTTCCAATCATTTTCCAATCATTTAAGTTAGTTGACGAAACAGAAATCTATCCAAGTAGTTTCTGTAAGGCAAACTTTAACTTGATACCAAAAATCAGAGACGTCACTAAGAAAAAATACTATTGACTAATATGACTACAGACATATATGTTGCATGAAGTGATCGATCAATCGGTTGGAGGCACGGAGATAAAACACGTGAGAGGAATGTAAAGAGCTCATAGGGTCAAGACTCCATCTGGCTCGAGGCAATCTGCCAGAGGTCTCCTTTTTTTCTATTTATCAATTACATCCTAATGACTTCATCATAGAGAAAGACTCACAATGGAGAGTACAAACAGTTATAGGATAAGCATTCATCAAAGGAACATCAGGGTATGCATTGTCTTGCCAAAGCTATGTTGTTATGATTAAAAACATCAGAGGAAGATATGGAGCTGGACACATAGGCACTATAGATTACGTCCTCCACATCTTTATGGTTGGTTACACATAGGGCAAAGAGAAGGCTCATACTGATACTTGAAGGTAAAACCAGATTAAGGATGTGTAAGAGAGGGGGACCTGCTGCCTTGTACTGCCAAGATAATGTATAACCAGGCGAGTATATGAGAGCGTGCTGTACTTCTCCAGATCATCCGGTATCGCAAGTTTTATCTTGCCCACTTAATTCAAAGTGGGGACTCAGTTCTGCTTCCTGCTTGCAGGTCAGCATCTAGAGGCTAGTCCTAAATGTCCTGGCTTAGCACCAACACATATATCCTTAATGAATATAGATACACGCGAAGATTCTCAACAAAATATTTGCGAACTAAATCTAATGATACATAAAGAAGATTGTACGCCATGACAAAGTACAATTTATCCCAGTGATTCAAGGATGGTTTACTATATGCAATTCAATTGGCATAATATGCCATATTAATACAAAGAAAATAAAAGACATTATGATCATATCAATGGATTCAGAGGAAGCAGGGATTTGACAAAATCCCGCACCCATTCATGATTAAAATATCATGATTAAAATGGTGGTAGAAGAAGTGTTCCTCAACCAAGTTACACGGACCAAGTTACATTTGCCATGAGCCCATGAAAAGCATAGTGATGAAAAAACTCCTCTAAGAAATCCTTAGAAATTCCTCTAATATCAGTCACAAGACAAGGTTCCTCACTCTCACCACCACTACTCAATATAGTATTGGAATTCCTTGCCATAGCAATTAGGCAAGAAAGATACCATAAAGGACATCCAGATTTGAAAATAAGTGAAACTCACTATCTGAAGATGACATGATACCATACATAGGAAACCCTAAAGATGTTGCATAAAAGCTTCTAGAAACAATAGACTTGTACAGTAAAATGGCAGACTACAAAATCAACGTGCAGAAATACAGGACATATCTATATGCAAACAATGAACTAAAAGAGAGAAATTAATTTAAAATCCCACCAAAATGTGCTTCAAAAAATCAAGTACCTGGAAATCAACTTAAAAAAAGAGATGAAAGACTTATAACAAAGAAAAAGCCTAGATTACTAAAACAAAAGAAGACACAAGGAAATGGAAACGTATCTCATGTCCATGGATTGGAAGAATTAATATTATATTATTTTGGTTTTTTTTTGAGGCGGATGTGGCAGTTCTCTGGAATGACTCCTGGCTCTGTGCTCAGATATAACTCCTCTACGGAGCTCTGAGTACCAAATGAGATACTGGAGACCAAACCTGGGTCAACTGGATGCAAAGGAAAATCCTTTACCCGCTGTATTATCTTTCCAGTCCCAGAAGAATAAATATTGTAAAAATTAAAATCCTGCCCAAACACTATACATATTCAATGCAGTCCCTCTAAAAATACCCTGTAACAGGACTGGGGAAAAATACAGTGGTAAGATGCTTGCGTTGCATTCAGCCAACACAGTTTCAATCCCCAGAACCTCATATAGTCTCACGAGCCCTGCCAGGAATGATCCCTGAACACAGAGCCAGGAGTATGCCTTGAGCACTGCCAGCTGTGGCTGAAAAACCCAAAGATACCCCCCAAATACCCTTGGTATTTTTCCCCAAATTTTATTTTGTTAAAACACTATGAATTACAAAGTTACTAATTGGGTTTTTGACCTATGGCATTTTAAAAAGATATAAACTAAATGCTGTTGAAATAAAGCAATAAAGTTCTCAAAATAGCAAAAATAATCCTAGCGTGTAAAAGAAGATGGGAGGGGGCATAGCTATGATGCAGTAGTGAGGGAACTTGCCTTGCACATGGCTGATCCAGGTTTGATCCCTGGCCTTCCATATGGTCCCCAGAGATCCCTCAGGAGTAATTCCTGAGTGTAGATCCAGGAGTAACCCCTGAACACTGCAGGAGGGGTGTGGTTCAAAAATAATGGATACTTTGCTTTCCCCCAACTTCAAATTATACTATAAAGCTTCAGTAATCAAAATGGTGTGATACTGGAATAAACACAGACTCTCAGGCCAATGGGAGAGAACTGAAAACCTAGAGAGCTATAGGCAGCTAGACAGCCAATCTTTGACAAAGAAGGAGAGTATGAATTGGAGAAAGGAAAACCTCCTCAACATATGATGTTGGGAAAAATGGTTGGTCACATGTAAAAAAACAATAACCTCATGGGGTCAGAGAGATAGTACAGTGGGTAGGGCATTTGCCTTCCATGCAGCTGACCTGGGTTTGATACCCAGCACTGTATTTTGTCCCCAGAACCTGCCAGCAGTCATCCCTGAGAACAGAGCTAGTAATAAGTTCAGAGCATCACTGGGCATGGCCCAAATTAAAAAAAAATACACCAAACCCTCAGAACTCTTTGTCACAAAATCAATTCAAAATGCATTAAAGATCTTGATATCAGAACTTAATCCATAAATTATATTGAGGATAACATAGGCAGAACCTTTTCATAACATTGAATCTAGGGGTATATTCAATGATTCAATGTCATTTGGCCAAGCAGACAGAAGCAAAAAAAAAAAAAACCCTAAATCGGACTACATCAAATAAAGAAGATTCTGTGTCACAAAAGAAATGAGGAACAGAGTAAAGACACTCCACAGACTGGGAGAAAATATTTACCCACTGCTGATCTGACAAAGGGTTAATATCCAAGGTATATAAAGCACTGATAAAATTTAACAAGCTAAAGCAATCAGAGGCCAGAGAGACACTACAGCAGCTGGGCTACTTGTCTTGCAAGTGGCTGACCTAAGTTTGATCACAGCACCATATATTATACCCTGAGCATTACCAGGATTGATCCCTGAGCACAGAACCAAGAATAACCAACTAAACACCACTGGGTATGACTGTGAATATCCCCCTCAGCCCCCCCCCAATATATAGCATGAGTAAATCAATAGTAATGAAATGATTCGGTTAAAACACATATATTCAAAAATTATAAATATTCATACTTTTTCAAGACATTTTGAGAGATACTAGATACTATGAATTCCCTCTAAATATGCATGCACCCTCACCAATAGTGTTTATATTATATATAATATATTAGATATATAATATATTATCTCCTATGTATGTAATTTATATTCACCTGATTCTCTACAACCTTGTCTATCAGTGTACCATGGAGGTTTTTCACTTGCGTTAATTTGAGAGCGAAAACTGTTTCCATTTGTATTGTTTCACAACTGATTATAATTGAGGAACACCCGATTCAGAAAATGATATATCAGTGACAAAAATGAGAATTTTATAAATAGCATCTGACTTTAACTCTTCTTTTTCTTGACAGAGGGCTCCCAGAGAATAGGAGAAAATGAATGCCAATGGTCTTCTTACAAAATATGTAGCAATAAACATTTTGAACAAGAGACAGTTTCGTAGATAGGTTTCATTTTTCGAAAAAGGGGAAGAAACTCTATTCTGTGGCTTGATGTGGGGTTGTCAGTTATTGCCTCCCCACTTCCTGGGACTTCCCACTGCTCTTTAGCACAAATCAGACTTGAGCAAAACATCACTTTTTCCATGGACTTCATTATAAAAAGAATGGCAGTGCCATGAGTAGCTGAGTTTCTGGGGCTGATCACCAAAAGGCTTGGGAATATTTCTGAAAGAAGTGCTGACCGCCACACTGAACTCTATATGGTCAACCACTGTGCTTCTACAGGACCAACGGAACACATTGGTTAGTGAAGGTAAGAGCAAAAAAGCCAACGGGCCCCCAAATTGCTAACTTTTGCCCATTCCATTCCTTTTCTCATGTTCTTGGCCTTTTGATATCATTAACTCAGATGGAATCTTAGGACATCTCAAAATCTTTTTGGGGGAGAGTTTAGTAAATGAGAGATGAGTGGGAATTTAAGCAAGTGTCCAGTGACATTGAACAATAAAGGGAAGTTAAGTCAAAGGCTCCCTCTCTTACCTCTCCAGGCTTGCAGTTTTGACATTTCTGAAGTAGTTCTTAATCTAAAAAATTTGAGTGCTCTGATCAAATATTTGTTGTCTAACTTGTTCGGTCTTCATTTGCTCAGTGCTGTGCAATATTAACTTCTGCATTTTCAAAAAGAAGGTCCAAGCACCTAAGCAGAATTTCTTTAGTAACAGAGCAACTCTTGAATTCAGTAACACTGATGTAATTTTGGAGACAAAATCAATCACAAGAAATTCTAGTAGGATTTTATTCTGTCATTCGTTCAGTGAGTTTTTAAAAAGCGTTTAAATGTGTGGCAGGATATGGTTAAATTGAATGTGATCTGCTGCTTTTTAAATTGTCATCTGGGTGACTAGGAAACTACCCTTTAGTGTAAAAGCACACATAGGTAGATTTTGTTTTGTAGAGAAACATCCTTTATAGAGACATGATATTCTCAACTGTTTTCAAAATGTAGCTTTTTAACTTTTAGTTTTTGGTTCACAGAAAGCAGGGTTAAGGGCTACACTTGCCCCTGTGCTCAGAGGCCATGCCTGGTGGTGCTAGGGGGATCAGGTCCTATTACACATAGGTAGGTTTTGTCTGAATTCTTTCTAGATCTGTTTTATCTCTCTTTTACATTGGTATATCTGCCTGTGCTGGAATATTGCCCTGGTTTGTCCCATGGTGTTCATTTTTAGACCTTTCTTCATATTGGCCAATGTAAGACTATTTTGTTTCTGAGTTTCTTATCAAAGTGGAAGGTTTTTGAAATTTTCACTAAAGTTTCACATTAAATAATGGCAAAAATGGGGTGTTACTCAAAATCACTGCTCCATTTATATTATCTTAGAAAAAAGTAATGTTTTAGACCCAATTATTTTTTGACCTCACACCAAAATTGAAACGAGGGCATTGCATATGCAATGCTAATGCTCTACCCCTGAACCGCAACCTTAATTTAAAGGGTTTCTCATTTATCTGTTTTCCTCTGGGTGCATTAGCACCCAGAAATGCTTGGGAGGGTTCTCTTAACTCTTTGTACTTCCTGTGGCACTCAGGGGACTATGTGATGGCAGGAATTGAACCCGGGGCCCAATACGAGCAAGGCAAGTAAGTGATTTATAGCTGAGCCACAAAAATTATGTAACAGAGTCATTTCAAATTACTGAAACATTTCCAGTCACCTATTTTTTTCTTTATTTAGATACATGAGATTGTCTCTCTAGGTTCATAGCAAATAAGAGAGAATGTAAATGTGCCTTTATTAACTAAACATAGCTATTTATTCCTTCCAATGTTGCTTTAAAACATTTTAGATCTAGGGGCTGGAGTCATAGTACAGTAGATAGGGCACTTGCCTTGCATGTAGCAGACAAGGGTTCAATTGTCAGCACTCCATATGGTCCCTCAATCCCTTCCAGGAGTAATTTCTGAGTGCAGTCAGGAGTAACCCCCTTTTTTTGATTTTTGGGTCACACCCACCGATGCACATGGGTTTCTCCTGACTCTGCACTCAGGAATTACTCCTGGCTGTGCTTGAGGGACCATATTGGATGCTGGGAATTGAACCTGGGTTGGCCGAGTGCAAGGCAAACACCCTACCTGCTGTGCTATCACTCCAGCTCCAGGAGTAACCCCTGATCACTGCAGCCCTCAAACCAAAGAAAAAAAATAAAATCCATGTAAAACTTAAGGGCTTGAGAGATAGCACAGTGGGTAGGGTGTTTGCCTTGCATGTGGCAGACCCAGGTTTGATACCTTCCGCCCCTCTCAGAGAGCCCGGCAAGCTACCGAGAGTATCTTGCCTTCACAGCAAAACGTTGCAAGCTACCCTGATGTATTCAATATGCCAAAAGTAGTAACAAGTCTCACAATGGAGATGTTACTGGTGCCCGCTGGAGCAAATCGATGATTTGCTACAGTGCTACAGTGCTACAGTAAAACTTAAGAGAATGGCACAATGGTACCTATATTGTCCCTATGTTGATTAATCCATCATATAATTTTGTTACATTTTTTTCTCACTATATCTATATATACACACAAACATATGTGGGGTTTTCCCCCTGAAACTGATGAAAAGTATACTTTTGCTTTTAGAACACAAATTATTGCCAAATTCTTAAACATGTATCTCCTACGAGTAAAATAGAATTATTCTATATGATGATAATGCTAAGGACACGTAACGTAAATTCAGAACCATTATCTATTGTCTATATTCAAATTTCAGTAATTTTTCACATGTCTTTTAAAGCATTTTTATTAAATTAGAATCCAATTAAGTATCATACATTGTATTTGATATACCAATAATTTAGTAAACAGTAAAGGTAATGATAATACTAATAATTATATAATCAATTAAAATTAACAATTCTAACATCAAGAAATTAAAATTAACAACTATAGCACACCTTCTCTATTTTTCTCTACTTTCTATTTTTTCTTTCTTTTTGGGTCAGATCCAGCTCTGCTCAGGGCTTACTTCTAGCTCTGCACTCAGGGAATATTCCTATGGTGCCTGGGGGAACCATATATCATGGCTGGGATTGACCCCAGGTTGACTGTGTGCGCAAGACAAGTGCCCTATTCACTGTGCTATGGCTCCAGCCCAATTTTTCTTATTTTTATTTATTTATTTATGTTTGTTAGCTGTTTTATATCGTTTGATTTTTTTATAATTTATTTATTTATTGAATCACTGTGGGAAAAGTTACAAAGCTTTCAGGCTTAGGTCTCGGTCATGCAAATATCAAACACATTTTCTTTTACCAATACTTATTTTTCACCACGAAGAACCCCAATAAAGCCCCACTCCTCACCCCTCCCAATGCCTGTGAGGCAGATGAATTCTAGTTAACACTCTATCTACTTTGACTAGATTCATTGTTTCGATAAAAGATGCACCATTATTATTTAGAGTTTACCCCCCAAATCAGACATGCTGAAAAAGCATTGTGAAATGATTTGCTTTCTACAGATGGGTTCAAGAATTAAATGATGTTGCGTGGCTGCAATAGCGGCGGCGCAGTTTCAGATTTCTGCTATTTTACTTATTAACCCTGGAAGTATTTCTACTGAGAGTCAGATAATTAAGAGACTGGTGTCTGTGCTCTGGAGCCATGGCCGTGCTGGAGAGCCGCTCGTGGGGGGCAACTGGTGACCTCGGTAGGGCGTGAAGGATGAGCTGGGAACGCCCCCCTTCCCATGAGGTTTTAGTCGCCCCGTCACCACCGGCTCATACCTGGCTTTCCACAAGGCTCCCAAGTGGCTGCCATCTTTCTTTCCCATTTTTCTTATTTTAAAAACCTCATTTGAGTGCGCTCCTTTAAAGAATACCTGAAAGAATGTCTGTGAAAGCGACCACAAGCTTTAATTTTTCTGTTTGCAAGATGTGAAAACAAACTATGAAGAAAAATCCAAGTTATAATAAAAATACATGGAATGATATTTCGATTCCGTATTTTTCATCTTCTAAATAAGGAAATAAATTCACGTAGAAACATACAACTTTTGGAAAGAATAACTCTTTGTCCTAAGAATTAATTAGAATCGAATGGAAAATTATTTATCTTCTTCTTGTTGTTTATATGAAAAACATAAGCCTTTAAAATTACTTTTAGGTGCCAGAGTGACAGAACAGTGGGTAGGGCACTTGCCTTGAACATAGTAGACCCAGGTTTGATCCTGGGAACCACATATGGTTCCTTGAGCCTGACAGGAGTGATTCTGAGCACAGAACCAGAAATAAGCCCTGAGCACTGCTGGGTGTGGCTCCAAAACAAACAAAATTTTTTGTTACTACTGAAACAACGTGGTGTACAATGCTATTTCACCACAACCACCACCAAAGTGCCACACACCCTCCTGCACTGTTGTCTTTTGATGTCTTTTCAGCCACCCTATTTTTACCCATGTCCACTTCCTACTTGGTAAGTTCAGTTTTCTTGTTCAAGTCTAAGGATTGGTTTTAATTGGTCACTGTCTTTGCATTTCACATGTAAGTGAGGGCATTGGCATTTGTTTTTCTCCCCTGACGTATTCCACTTAATAGGACACTCTCTATTTCCATTCAAGTTGTAACAAAAAACAAGTTTTCATCTTTAGCTAAGTAGTATGCTATTGTGTGTATGTGTGTAAGAATTAGTGATTTCCTTATACAGCGATTTCCTTATCCAGTTATCTGTTATTGGGCACTTGTATTGTTTCCACATTTTGGCTATTGTAAATAGGCTGCAACAAACACAGGTGTGCATATATCTTTTTGAATTACTATTTCTGTGTTCTTGGGGTAGACACCAAGGACTCAAATTTCTAGATCACGTGGGAGTTACATTTTTAATCTTTTTAGAAGTCTCCAAATAATTCTCCATAGAAGCTTAACTAAATTAGATACCTACCAAAAGTAAATAAGGATTCCTTTTTCATCATACGCCCACCAGCAATGGTTTTTTCTACCTTCTTATTTTTATTTATTTTATTAAGTAGGAGTACTACTATTTATTCAGCCATTGATTAAGCTGATTGAATTTTCCTACCTTTTTAAAATATAGCCATTCTCACTAGAGAAATTTAATATATCAATGTCATTTTGATTTGTATTTTCTTCATAATTAGTGATGATGATTACTTTTTTGTAAGGCAGTAGGCCATTTGTATATTTTTTTGTGAAAGTATAAGAAAGGCCTTTTAAATATATGATTATATTTTAGCCAAACAATTACATTTTCAGAAATTAAGGATTACTTCATATTTGCAAGAATTGTAGGTAATTCCAAA